GCATACACACCACAGACACACACACACACACACACACACACACACACACACACACACACTCAAAAAAAATTATGGGTGAGCTATTTTAAAAACAATGGAGAGAGAGAGGGGATAATTTAATAAGCAGCAACAGGAAAATAAATCATCGATTTGGAGAAAATTTTTAATTTGAATATCCAATTTCTATTACAATGGATTGAAGTGTTTAATTCTAAGAATGAGACATGGGCTACAGCAAGCTCCTAGCCCAACCTGGGTAGGAACAATGAGTGACAAATTTTAAATGACAGAAGACATTGCGCAAGAGAAGATGGATGTGTTTGATTATATTAAAACACAAACTTTGAGATACTGAAGTATCGTGTTAATGAAAAGGAAATAGCAAGCCGAGAGAGAGCTCTTACACAGACAGGTTCTCTTTTGATGCATACGTGATTATAAAGAATTAAACCTGAAGGTGGTGAAATTCACTTTAAACCCTTCCGTTTGGGCCATTAGCCCACTAGGACACGAGGAAGGTTCCCACCGACGGAGGCAGAGGCACAGCAGGTTGGCACCTGGAGGCGGCCAACCTCAGTGTCAGCCCCAGGAAGACAAATTAAGACAATAACAGGGCACCGCTTCGTGCCTCATACATGATCAATATTTAAAATGATGTTAATGATGTGCAGCTCGGGAGAGGGAGCGAAACTGGAACACTCACAGCACATGATGGCAATGCACACGGCTAGGGTGTTGTTCTACAAGGACAGCTGAGCAGGCCTGCAGAAACTGCACGCGGTGATGCGTGCCCTCGGCCCACAGGAAGGTCAGCCAGCATGAAACACGCTGTGCAGCAGCAGCCACAAGAGAGATCTAGTCTAAGAAGGTGGAAGGAGAGAACCGAGTCCCCAAAGCTGCCCTCTGACTTCCACATGTGTGTGCCCACGAGTCTGTCCTCCAAGCCACACAGCTGCCATCTTGGGGAGGTCAGCCGCATCCTCTTACAAAAGGTCCTCCCAGCTGGGCTTCTTGACTGTTTGCACCCCGATGGAGGAGCGGGGTGTTATGAGACCCTCACCTGAGTATCCAGACCCTACCACCTGTCGTTGGCAACTCTGCCCTAACCGTACATGATAGCCGGAGAGCTAGAGTGTATAGGAAAGACTAGCGAAGAGGGCTTCATCTATGTGGGTAAGGGAGAGCCCTCACCCCTGCGGGACAAAGGCTTTTCAGGAGCTGCCTGTTGGGGTAGGCACACCCACACCCCTGCATGTCACCCCTCACCTACGCTCTGTAGGAGGCCCTAGAAATTCACTGGTTCCACAGAGTGAACTTGGGCAGAATCATGCCTTTGTTTGTCCTTGGGGCCTTAGAAGAAGAGGGAGACAGAAGGAATTTTAGCAACAAGAAGCGGGGCGGTAGCGGGGAGGAGAGAATATCTCCAATCTTCAACAAGTTAATCTTAAACCAAAAACAACAACAACAACAACAAACCACTAAAAAGAACAACAGACAGTATCAGCAGCAAAGATCGGAAGAGAAATACAGCCAAGTCTAGACAAAGATAGGGAAAAAAAGATCATGAAGCTAAGAGGTGAGTTTCTGAAAAGTTAAACAAACAAGACTCCTGTTAGCTAGACTAAGGAAAACAGGCGTTTTTAAAAAAAAAAAAAAAAAAGCCTGGGAAAGGACGGCATAGTGATACATGACCCCAACCTTAGGGTTCAGGACATTGAGGCAGGAGGAGTCTGAGTTTGAGGCCAGCTGGGCAATTCTGTGAAATCCTGCTTTAAAAAATAAATGAATGAATGAATGAATGAATGAATAAATAAATAAATAAATAAATAAATAAATAAATAAATAAATAAATAAATAAACTTGGCCAGTAGAAGACACTTGACAAACACTAGCTAGAAAGGTAGCATAGTGTTTCAATACTAGATAAGACTGGAATTCCGTGACTTTTGTGAGAGATGGTCACACATCACCCTCAGGTCCATGCACAGAGGACACAGGGACTGTCCCATATCTGAAATGCTATTTGCTTTGGGACTGCTTCGCGTTTTGGAATCCTTCCACGTATAGTGAGGGACCTCAAGTCTCACACAAACTGTCCGTGTGTTTCATATTCTCTTACAGTCTTGAGGCTACATGACATGGGACTTCTGTGAGCTTGCATTTTGACTGGGATCCTCGAATGTCGTGTCAGAGCTCAGAAAGTTTCAAATCCAGAACCACTTCAAAATTTGGATTTTCTTTTTAAAATTTCTTATTGCAGATGATGTTGGGGATGGGGGCATGCCTCAGTGCGTGTATGGAGGTCAAAGGCCAACCTCGTGAAGTCGGCCCTCTCCTTCCCCCTTCAGGAATCCTGCCAGGGATTGAACGCAGGTCATTCGTCAGGCTTGAACAGCAAGTGCCTTTATCCACTGAACCATCTCCACAGCCTGGAATTCAGATTTTCAGGCTAGAGATGCTCAACCCATATATAAATCATGATGCAGACACTGGTGCTGTGCCCCTGGGGATTCTGGGTGAGTACAAAAAAGGGCCTCAGAAAACTCTGGGTCCCCGAAGAAAAGGCTCTACCAAGAGAACATGGTGGCCACTTGCATCCCTAACATGTGCATTCTGTGTGCCCTGCCCATGGTACTTATCGCTCGGCAGGTCACCCCAGTTGGGATCTAGTCATTGTCTACTTCAGCATTTTTAGCACCTAGCACTGTGTCTGGCAGAGGAAGGCACTTGGTAAATGTTAGCGGCATGACATTTCATGCATTCATTAAAATGATAATTTCCAAGAATATGAAGCCAATAGGAAAGGTGTCTAAGACAGCCATTTCTATTTTTAAAATCAAAGCAACACTGTAGGTGTACCTGACTGCAAATGGAAAAGTTTCTGATTTGTGTGAATGAGGGTGTGGGCCAATAAAGAGTGTTAGGCAGGGGGGGGGGATCTCCTAGCTGTTCCCATTATTCCTATTGCATGACTATTACGATTCTGAGGCTGAGAAGGTGCTTTATATGACCTCTAACTTTCTGAGAAATAAGACCTGAAGTTGGTCACAACAGAGCTGCTTTCTGAGCCATGGAGCCACTCACTGGGACTAATTTGCTACTTGCTTTGGAAATCCTGGGTGGGGTTCCTCTCTGCCATGTGTGGTGCCATCAGAGTGCCCGGTGTGGGCAGCTGCTGCTCTCGGGCATCTTTTCCAGACAAGCTCAAGGCAGCTCTCGTCACCTAGGACTCGTCACTCAGGACACGTGCTTCCATCTCTTTGCCTTGAGAGGAGGCACTTTGTGTGACTTGGACAAGAAAACAAGACTATTTCTGAGCAATATTTTTGTCTCTATATGACACATTCCCACCTGAATGGTACCACACTCCCACCTGAATGGCACAGGGGTTCCTTGCAGAGATCGCCAATCCTGATGTGAGGCAAGGGGTAAGGAGACTGGGCATTTTTATCATATCAGAAAACAAAAAGGCTCTCAGAGACCATAATGGCCCCAGCAACAAGACTCAGGCACCAGCGTGAAAAGGCCCCACCAGCCAAGAGGGAACAATGGAGTTTCAGCAAGCATGACTGTAATAAGCTGGGCATGGTGGTACAGCCAGTTATCCCAGCACTCAGGAGGCTGAGGCAGACAGGTTCCAAGTTCAAGGCCACCCTGGGCTACAAAGTGAGACCCTGTCTGAGGACATAACAAGGAAGAAGAAGGAAAGAGAAGAAAGGCAGGGGGAGAAAATGACTGTGATGAATTGGAATGCATGAAATACATTTAAATTTGAGAATTCATAATAATTAAGAAAAGGTTATTAGGAAAAGACTCCCATTGCTCTCTGTGGAAGAGGCTGGTGAACCAACTCCTTATTTTGAAAAGCAGCCACAGACGGACCACACCAACAGCGTTTCTTTGCAAATTGTTTTGATTTGTGTGGGACGTGAGCAGGCTAGGCACACATGTGGAGGTCACAGGACTTCGGTGGCACTCTCGCCTTCCACCTTGCTGGAAACAGCCCCTTGTTCACGGCTGCATACGGCCTGAGAGCTTCCCAGGATTCTCTGGTGTTCTCCCATCTCACCATAGCAGTACTGGGTTACAGACACATGCTCCCGAGTCCGGCTTGATGCAGGTTCTGGGATCCGAACTCAGGTCCTCAGGCTTGCATGGTGAGTGCTTTACACACTGAACTGGCTCCCTAGTCCCCAACCTCCTCATCTAACCGTGGAGATGGTACACCCTCATCACAGAGGCGCGGCAACATGGCAGGAGAACAAACAGAAGAGAACCACCGTACGGTCTCCAGGGAACTACGGGATCTACGTCTGATTGACAGCTAACAGGAACAGACACACAAGCGTCCCACCAGTCTGTGCAGCAGTCATGCCTAAAGCAGATAAATCAAACCACGGCCTTGAGTCCTCAGAGGTGCCAGTTCAGGGCGGAGGGTGGGGGTGGGGGCGCAGGAGGGAGAAGGGACCTTAGGGAATGGCACTGTGGGTTAGAACAACCAAATCCAGGCTGTAAGAAACTCTAAGGAACATTTAATCTAGCCTTGTATAAAAGGAACATTGTGGGAAGGAAGCCTGCAGATTGACAGGGAATCAAGGTGTTTTGGCTGGCTTTACGTAAAGTTAACATAAGCTAGAGTCATTTTGGACGCATGAACTGTGGCCAAGCTTGTGGGGCCTTTTCTTGATTGCTGTAAGAGGGCCCAGTTCACTGCGGGTGGTGTCACCCCCTAGGCTGGGGGTCCTGGGTGCAATAGGAAAGCAGGAGCTGAGGCCAAGGCCATGGTCCTTGAGGCTTGCTGAATCTGCTTTCTGGGGGCTCTCAAAGCTGGAGACTGAGCTCGAGAGCGGATTTGTGGGGTTTTCTCTCTGCCTTTGCTTGGTGGGGAAATCTCAGGGGCACCAAGTTTAAAGCACTGAATGAAAAAATAAATGAGGTTCTTCTGTGTTGTCCCGGCGATGTCTGGGGGAAAACTTGTCAAGAAGCAATCAGATTCTTACCTTTTCATTAACTGGATAAAAATCCTTCTCGGTAGCCGGTATACAAAGGTGTCAAGGACAACCTTCAGGTAATTCAGAGAGACGTAGCCACCTTTGGAGGGGTCTCCTGCGCTCAGGGCTTTTTCAATCTTTTCATAACACTTTGAAAGCTGCAAGGAATTAAAATTCGAGTGTTGCGTTCAGCCAAGTCAACATCCTGGAGCCATCCGACCATGCCATTTTTGTTTTTCTTTTTAAACCAGAACCTCCCCACATTTCTGTCTCCGAAAGCTGATCAAAAAGGGTTACTGTGGCATGTACTGAACCTCAAATGTTTAATTGATGAGCTCACTACAAACAACACCCTGCTCACAGCTGACAAGTTTCTCAGGGAGGGACAGCAAGAACGATGGCTTATACCTCCGACTACAGCACTAAAAATACTCCACAGCTCTGCCAGTGTGGTGCATCTTAATACGCTTCCGGCATTCCCTACCGAGAGCCCACGCCATGCACTTCTGATAAGTCAAGCCATCAGATTTGCAAGCTGGGAGCATTTTATTAAAAATAGAAGTTGCTTTTGTGGTGTGGAAATTGATTAATGTAAGGATTATATAAACATAATAGACACTGGACACCTCATAAATCATGGTTTTAAAGAGTGGGGGGGGTGATTATAAAAGAGTCAACCAGTTTTCTCTTGGGATTCCAAGGATGCAGTGAGTTGGTTCAAAGCTGGTTTTCATGACTCATAAGAACACTGTGAACGCTGGTTATCATTTATGGAACACTGCTATTTATTATTGGCTGATAACTATATTTATTTTCAACCATCTCAGTTTGTCTGAATTCAGTTTTTCCTGCTAAATGGAAAATAGAATAACCACCAATTTGGTGTAAGAGGTAACTTTCTTGAAAGGTGTCTGGAAATGGACACACATGTACAGGAGTCTCCATCCACCCAGGGAATAAGAAGTAGGCTTGGAGATGCTCCTGAGTGGCCACAGCAGTACTGGAGATCTTTACAATCCTGGGGGGGATTAGTGGGTTGGGGAGGCGGCTCTTGATGCACGAAGCCCTTCGACCAGAGTGCAATCTCTGAGACCCACAGAAAAAGGCAGATTCTGTGGGTGCAATCCCTGAGACCCACATAGAGAGCCAGATTCCGACATGTGTTTGTAATTCCAGCACTCCTACAGAGAGGTGGGAGGCAGAGATGGGAAAACTGGTCCAAGATTATGGGCCAGAGAGCAGTGACAGACCCTGAGTCAATACAGGGGAGGGGAGAACCAACAACCAAAAGTTGCCCTCTAACTTAACACACACACACACACACACACACACACACACGCGCACGCACGCACGCACGCACGCACGCACGCACGCACGCATGCACGCACTCAGGCACTCATGCATGTGCGCACACACATATATAAATTTTAGAATTCTAAAATTATTTAGAGATCCAAGTCTCTTAGAAAGGGCCTAAGCTTCCAAGAAAGAATTAATATATGCTGGGGCAGTAGTGGTGCACACCTTTAATCCCAGTACTTGGGAGGCAGAGCCAGGCGGATCTCTGTGAGTTCAAGGCCAGCCTGGGCTACCGAGTGAGTTCCAGGAAAGACTCCAAAAGCTACACAGAGAAACCCTGTCTCCGGAAAAAAAAAAAAAAAAAAAAGAATTAATACAAACTTCAGCAAGCTCACCTACTTCTTCCATGAGAGAGCTTCATCTGAGCTCCTGCTGCAGGGAAGACTCACTCAGAGAAGCTAAAACATTCTGTGATGTGCAGTCTTCATGTATTCACTGGGCTAATAAAATCTATCTTTTTTTTTTTTTTTTTGAAACTGGGTCTCACTCCTTATACAGCCCTGGCTGATCCAGAATTCACTATGTAGGCCATGCTGGCCTCAAAGTCACAGAGATCTGCCTGCCTCTGCATCTGGAGAGTGAAGATTAAAGCCTTAAGCCACCACACCCGGCTGACAGAGTCTATCTTAACATCTCAAGGGCATGTGGGCTTCAAGAAGGCTTCTCAGAGCATGCTCTGCCATGACCAAGAGCTTCTGGAAAATGAGTGACGCAGAGAGAGTATCTAGGTGACATCTAAAACCTCAAAAAAAAATCCTCACTTTATTTAAAATTGTAAGGTTTTGTGTAAGAAAAATACAAGCAATTCAGCAAGGTACACAACGCCTCACACCCCCAGCTCTGTGATCTGGAAGTTTTCAATGCTGTCATAATTATAGAGATAATTTTACAAATGGCGAAGCATGCCACGATTTCAGGCTGGACAGAAGCTCTTGTCACTTAGCAACATGTGCTGAAACATTTTCATAAGAACCAGTGCACACCAGTATTGTTCTTTGGGGTGACACGTGGCATGCCATGACATCACCCACGGGCCGGCAAGAGTTACAGCTCTTGCCGAACGCAAGGCCGTGTTTACAGCTGTGTGTGTTGTATCTCATCCTTCTCTACCAGGGCTAGAGGACTTCAAGACAGAAGCGCTCGGGCTGGTTTTGTTCACTAATAGTGACCCAGAATGTAGCACAGATTTGTCACGTGTCACTTAAGATATCTAAAAGTGGATATGTTTTACGGTGAAAAAAAAAAAAAAACGTTCTAAACAAAAGTTGCAAAATATAAAAAGATGTTCCATCCCTTAGCAGAAAGACTAACAACCCTCAGAATCCCAGTGGAGGCTGCCTCAGACAGGCAAATGTGAAGAACTGTGTCAGGTAGAGTGGCCCGTGGGACAGGGCTCCATATGCTTATGGTGGGCGTGAAAATGATCGTGGGCAGCAGGGTGCTGCTTCAGTTAAAACAGAATCATGTTCTAGAGCATCCACTGAGACAGCCAACTCCATGCCTGGATGGCATTTCCAGGACACACAGCACGGTGTGCCACAAGCTAGGCAAACACACATTTATAGTGGGACCTGGTGACGCAACCCAAACGCAACCACAGGGGAACGTGTGACCTACAGAGTGTTCAGAGGACAGACACTGGATAGGGGGAGGTGATGTCAGTGTGCAGGGGGAGGTGACGCAGACACTATGCATGGAGAGAGGAGGACAGACACTGATCAGGGGGAGGTGACGCAGACATTGTAGGAGGAAGGATGACAGACACTGTGCAGGAGGAGCTGGGGAGGTGATGACAGACAGTGAGTAGGGGGAGGTGACACTGTTGCAGGGGGAGGTGATAACAGTGTTCAGGGGAGGTGACAGACACTGCAGGGGAGGTGATGACAGACACCGTGCAGGGGACGGTGACACAGACACTATGCAGGAGAAGGTGACAGAGATGCTTTGCAGGAGGTGACATGATGACACTCTGTGGGGAGGTGACACAGACGCTTTGCAGGGGGGAGTGGTGACAGTGTACAGGGGAGGTGACAGACATAGATGCAGAGGGAGGTGATGACAGAAGACTCTACATCAGGAAGGTGCTGATGCAGCTTAACTTGGGTGGATCATATCCTAAGCACTGCCAGGGTCAAAACAAAGGGCGCCATGTGCATGTGCGCCAACACACTCCAGAGTGGGCGGAGCAGGGGACAAATAAGCACAGGACAAGCAAGAGACAAAGGACCCCAGCTTGCAAAGGACGCCAACAAATATTCATCTTCTGTGAAAATGTTGTGCCATACAAAATGCACCAGATAAAATTCGGGATTCATTCAAAGGGTACCCTGAGATGATCAAATAGTAAGAAGTGAGGGGGAGGTCAGAGCTGAAGCTACAGCAACAAAAATGGCTATTACAGGAGGCAATAAAATCAAGAAAGAAATGAGTGAAAAATGGGAGTCAAGCCAGGCGCTGGTGGCACACACCTTTAATCCCAACACTCGGGAGGCAGAGGCAGACAGATCTCTGAGTTCAAGACCAACCTGGGCTACAGAACAAGTTCCAGGACAGCCAGAGCTACACAGAGAAAGCCTGTCTCAAAAAAACAAACCAAACAAAACCAAACAAACAAACAAACAAAAAAGATGGGAGTCGGATGAGCACCAAGAGGGCTTGAAAGAATCTCAAAGCAGACAACTATTGAGAGGAGAGGAATAATGTGACCTGGAGCAGGTAACATGCTGGCCATTAGGACAAGGATGAGCCGGTGCAAGGACACCTGGGAAAAGTACTGAAGGAGTGAGGGAGGGAAGAGGAGGAGGAGAAGGAAGAGGGGGAGAGGGAGGGACAAGGTGTGTGTGTTTGGAGTTATGATCCAGAATATTTGTACTCAGTGAAGCCCCGGAGCTGGACATGTAAAAAAATACACCCATGTTCCAAGAAGTGACATCAAAATGCTTCAAGCTAGGACAAAGCTCAGCTTGACTTTTACATTTCAAAGGTCAACCGAAGAACATATGTGGGGACACACAAAATCAGCTGCAGGAGAGCCGCCAGGATGACCTCAGATTCCTCCCAACGGTGGCAGGTGCCAGGAAGCTGTTGGGAAGACATTCAGTCCTTTACGATGGAATGGAAACACAGAGCAGTCACACACAGCCAGACCAGTGCTCAGGCCTCACCATGCGAGGCACAGGGTCTCCTAGGTGTGGGCACAAGGGAAGCAGAGCATCCAGGAGCCTTTCTTGAGGAAACCACCAGACAACGAAATCCAGCTAAGCAAAAACTAAATGAAAATTTACAAAAAAAGAAAGGGAAACTGCCCAAAGCATTCCACTCCACTGGCGGCCACCAAATCTACCTGGGGAGGAAACGAAGGCCAGGCGTCTGGGGGATTACCATGACCGTACATGATATAAACATTACCAACAACAAGAACACAATATAGACAGCAAAATCTGTGGGGTGGGGGCTGGGCAGGGGAGACACAGCAGGTGCCAGTCACTTGTCACTTGTCATCAAGTCCCACGGCAGCGAGCCAGCCCCTTCAAAAGCGTCACCACCTCTTCAGCTCTGCCTGGTTTCCCTCATCCCTTTCACTGTGTTAATGTTCCTTCAGGGACTTAATATGTTGTGTGGGAAACAGACACCCAACGTTCCGGGGTATCTTCCTGTCACTTGTGATTGACAATACCAAAGAAGGTAGTGACAGCTGGGACCCAGAGCCACACTGCTCGGACTTCCCGGCAAATTGTGTACCCGCCTCCTGCCTTGGCCTTCTCACCTGAAGATCCACACACAACCAATGCCTGTTGTGTGGAGATTCAGTTGGTAATTGCAGGGCACCAAGGACTTAGCCTGGTGTGGGACACCCCATGAACAGGGCTAATCGTGATGTCACGTGACATGGAGGCTTGCTTTACCCCTGGTAAAAATCAATGACATTTAAATTAAAAGTGTATGTTTTTAAAGACTGCTTTGTTTTGAGACAAGACCTTGCTGTGTAGCCCAGGTTGGCCTGGAACTCAGATCCCCCTGCCTCAGCATCCCCAGTGTGGCACCACCACTGCCCAGCAATGGTCTTCTTGGGAACCCCTTTTGGTCATTTGCCTGCTCACTAATGCAGTCGTCTTTCCACACGTGAACGAAGAAGAACATGAATGGAGCTCACCAAATACAGCTTGGGCTGCTCTGGGGAGGGGACTGTGGATGACTTCCTAGTTCCTGCATGTCCTTTCCAGAACAACTCACACACCTTTTGGTGAGGGTCATGTGTTTTGGGAAGGCCATGTCTTCTACAAAAACAATAAGGTTATTTGCCAAGACGGGAAAGCAAGCTTGGCCAATTTATCAGCCGATATGAGTGTGTTCCTTTCTCAGTTCTTTCCAACAGGGCTGGCTTCGCCAGGGTTTCCTCGCTAGTTCTTCTACTGAAAAGTCCACAGTAATGATTTGCAAAGTTCTGTGTATATTAGAAACAGTTATGGAGGCTGGAGGGATGGCTCAGTGGCTATGAACACTTGCACCCTTACAGAGGATCGGAGTTTAGTTCCCACACGGGGCAGCTCACAACCAGCCGTCATGAGCTCTAGGGAATCCAGCACCCTCTCTGGGCTCCTTGGGCACTCACACCCGAGTGCACACACACACATGCAAACACATACATATAAATAAAAATTTAAAAAAAACCTTTTAAGACAGTTATTATTCACCTGTCATTTATACTGTCATATTTTGCCAAGCTGATCTCATGTTCATACTGTTTTACTGTACAAAAATACTTTTGTTAAAAACTTTTTATGCTGTCAACCTTCACCTTTTTCCTTATGGCTTTTAGGCTGTACTTCATACTCAAAAAAGACTTTCATTTCAGACTTTCGATTTTTCCCCTTGGCTGGGGCTGCAGGTGCAGCTTGGTGGAAGAGGAGCTTGCTCAGTATGGTCTGATGCCCAATACACAAAAATCACTTTTTACCCACCTTGTTCATTCTAGGTTTACAGTAGTTACTGTGTGTAGAAATTGGGGTTGGTGAGGGCTAAAAGGTTTCCTCCCAAAATGTCTGGCTGACAGATTATCTCAGTAATAATTCCATCACTAGCAATCTGCCCATACCGTGCTTCACGGAAATGCCTTGTACTATCGGGGACTAAGTACATGTGTGATGGTTCCTTTAACTGTCAGCTTGACACAACCTACAGTCACGTGCTGAGGGACCGTCTCTATCAGGCTGGCCTGTCTGTGGGAGATTGTCTTAATTAAGTTCATTCATGCAGGAAGACTCAGCCCAGCGTGGGCGGCACCATTCCCTAGGCAGGAGGTTCTCTGAACTGTGTGTGAGTGAAGAGAACGCCGAGTACAGGTGAGCATCATGCCTGCATTTCTCTCTGCTCATGACTCCAGCCGGGATGTGACTATCTGTGTGAAGTTCCTGCCTTGACTTCCCCACAATGATGGGCTGCAACTGTAAGCTGAACTAAACCTCTTCTTCCCCAAGATGCTTTCTCCCCAGGGCGTTTCTCACAGCCACAGAAATGAAACCAGAATAACTGGCTGGACTGGTGGGCACAGCTTGGTCATTGTCAATTGCCTTCCTGACCCATTCAGGCTGCCCATTGCCACACCAGCTCTCCACGGCCCCAACGGTTACACCTTCACCAGGTATTTAAGTGCAGTAGGAGAGATCCTCAATTTTAACTTTTCAAGAGACACATATGTAGTCCAAATATAGAGACCAGAGATAATGGCCAACCCTCTACCCAAGGTCAGAAGAAGAGGGTCTCTTTGTGTACTCGTTAATGACCAACCCCCACTGGAGGTCAGAAGTGGCCTCTTTATTGAGTCAAGTTTTCTCTTATGTAACATGACCAAGCTGTACCATTCCTTTATATGGTTTTCGTATTTTAAGAGCCTGTGAGTAGCACAAAGGAAACACTTAAAATTAACTTCTCAGGCTGCAGAGATGAGTCAGGGGGTAAACGTGCTTATTATGAATGTGAGAGGGCCTGAATTCAAATCCTCTGCACCCGTGTTATAGCTGAGCATGGCCAGGTGCGCCTGTAACCACGGTGCCGGCATCTGGGGACAGGCGCATCCTGAGACCTCACCCAGAAGCCAGCCCAGCCAAAATGGAGAACCTCAGGTTCAGTGACAAACTCTGTCTCGAAAAATAGATTGAAAGCAACAGAGTAAGACAGTCGACATCTTCCTCTGGCTCCCACATGCACACTCACAGGCTTGTGCATATACACACACACACACACACACACACACACACACACACACACACACACTCACACACATGGACATACAGCAAACACGCTACTAGATATATATCCCACACATGCACACCTTCCATTCACACCCCACACCTACATACCCCCACATCACACCCCATATCTATATATCCCCACATTCACATCCCAAACTCCCATACCCCCACACACATTCACACCTCATACCCCAACACCCCCACATTCATACTCCATACCCACACCTCTACTCATACCACACATCTACACTCCCCATATTCACACCCCACACCCACACATCTACACATTAACACCCCCAAATTTACACTCTACACAGTCATACCCCACACCTACACATCCACAGATTCACAACCTACCCCACACACCCCATATTCACACCCCATACCTACACATTTCCACATTCATAGCCCACACCTACAGATCTCCACATTCACACTCCACATCTACACACTACATATCCCCACATTCACACCTCACACCTACACACCCCCACATTCACACCCCGCACCTACACACCCCCACATTCACACCCACACCTACACATCTCTACTTTCAGACTGCACACCTACACATCTCCACTTTCACACCCCACACCTACACACCCCCACAGTCACAGCCCACACCTACACATCTCCACATTCACACCCCGCACCTACACATCCCCACATTCACACCCCGCACCTACACACCCCCACATTCACACCCCACACTTACACATCTCCACTTTCAGACTGCACACCAAAACATCTCCACTTTCACACCCCACACCTACACACCCCCACAGTCACAGCCCACATCTCCACATTCACACCCCGCACCTCCACTTTCACACCCCACACCTACACATCTCCACATTCACACCCCACACCTACACACCCCCACATTCACACGCCGCACCTACACACCCCCACATTCACACCCCGCACCTACACACCCCCACATTCACACCCCATACCTACATATCTCCACTTTCAGACTGCACACCTACACATCTCCACATTCACACCCTGCACCTACACATCTCCACTTTCACACCCCACACCTACACACCCCCACAGTCACAGCCCACACCTACACATCTCCACATTCACACGGAGCATCCTGAGGGGAGGTATCTGGCAGTCTGAAGGGTGCAGGTGGGAGCAAAGTTTCAGAGTAACACCCAGATGTTACCCAGAGCAACCCAGATGGTTCCTGCGGTCATCAGCTTGCCTGTGGTGACACTTGGGCTCTCACCTCTTGACAAAAGGTCTTTTCCAGGTCATCTAAGGAGTAGTTCTTCCAGACATCTTCAGATGACACGGAGTTGAACAACCGTTCCCTCCTGGCATTTTTGGCTTGTTGACTCTCCCTTGAGAGCTCTATTAAGACAAGATGGCTTTCATTTATTACATTGCAAGGGCTGATTCTATGTTCTTTACTTCTGATCATCACCTGCTTGATAAAAATTAAGATGAACGAACCAAGAAAAGGGTGGATTATTGGATTTGTTATACTGAAATAAATTGATAAATGGGGAAAAAAGAAAATTAGCCTTCTGTGTGTTATTGTACGCCAGGATAGACCCTGAAATGCGGGCTAAATGTGATTGAATCAGAACTGTCTGTGCAGTGGAGGGAAACTGGGGCCATTCTGGATGGCACAAGCTTCACCGGAGATAAGTCAGAGGAAACATCAAAGCCAGAAACCGCTCGGTGACAGGCAGGCTCAGTGCAAAGGGTGGGAGGGAAGTGAGCGGGGAAACTACTACTGTTCACACACAGGAGATGAACGCTGCCGTGTGGTCACATCCGTGGTCCCGGGACTCAGGAGGCCGTGGCAGGAGGATTCTGAGTTTATGGACAGCCTGAGCTACACAGCAGGATTCTATCATGTATAGATGAGAAGTGTGTGTGTGTGTGTGTGTGTGTGTGTGTGTGTGTGTAATATAACACACACACACACACACACACACACACACACACACACATATATATATATATGAGAATGCATTAAAATAAAGGTTGATTTTCATATTGTATGAGCAGCTCTCATGAACCAGTAGATGAATGCAAATATCTAGTGGACTAGTAAGGTTGGAGATGGGGATGGACATACAAAGAACTGAAAACCATAGCAAATGCAGAAAAAGTATTGACAATCACTGGTCATTTTAAAGATCTACTTAAAACAGGTGACTTTCTTCTTATCGTGGCAAGGACTAAGAAGATAGGGAAGAACAAGGAGGCTGAGGGGCTCAGTGCAAAGGTTCACACCTGAGGATATGACTTCAAATCCTAAGCAGGACATGGTTCTACACACCTGTAACCCAGTGCTGGGGTTTCAGGGAGATGGGCAAGTGTCAGGAGCTGAAATGGTGGGCCCCAGGGTGTGTGGGTGTTCCCACAACCAAGACAGACACAACAGAGGGGGACACCTGGATACTCCTCTGGCTCAAACAGAAGAGTATACCTGCCCATGCATGTATACCACACATACATATACACAGAAAGATATACACACATGTATACACACATGTACGCCCACACTCACCAACACAGAGACATGCACACACACACACACACACACACACACACACACACACACACACACACACTAATATAGGACAATGGCCAAGCTGCTCTCCCTCGGCACAGAAACAACCCTTGTGCAAACATTCTGAGCTCTTCTCCCGCTTGCTATCTGGGGGACAGCAGGCTGCCCAGCAGAGGCCTGCAGGTGAGGACACTTTCTGCAGAGCCGAAGGAAGACAGCGGCAACACTCCGGGTACCGGAACAGGGAGCCGTCTCACCAACGGATGCTGCCAAGACTAAGCACCAAAACCGGACATCAAAAACCAAGACCTGGCCTGGAGAGATGCCTCAGCCATTGAAAGCAGTGGTTGATCTTGCAGAAGACCCAGATTCGATTCCCAGCACCTGCATGGCAGCTCACCACGGTTCATCGAGGGATCTGATGCCCTCATCTGACCTCCTCAAGCAGCAGGCATACACATGTGGTGCACAAATACACCAGCAAACCACAGACATATAATAAGTAAATCTTTAAGAACAGGAAAGACATGTCTGTGACACAAATGTGACAGTTCCTTGAAGTATAGTCTTTCATGATTAAAAGGGCAATTAACATAATTTAATTAGCCAGCAGTGGTGGTGCACGCCTTTAATCCCAGCACTCGGGAGGTGGAGGCAGGCAGATCTCTGTGAGTTCAAGGCCAGCCTGGTCTACAAAGTGAGTTTCAGGACAGCCAGGGCTGTTACACAGAGAAACCCTGTCTCATGAAAAAAAAAAATCTAATTTTTATTTTCTCACTTATTTTGTATGTCTTCTTATCTATCCATCATCTACTGACTTGATACCAGAAAAAAAATAATCTAGGAGGATCTGACCAGGAGAATGCTGAGGGTGGAAGGATGCAAGACACAGAGTTGGGGACGTGGAGGAGTCTGGGCTTTTGCATCTGGCTTTTGTCCAACAAGCCTGTGTGCTTCTCATAGCAGGAGAGGGTGGGGTGCGTCTCAAGCGCAGCCATCTTCTCTCGGCGTCAGATGTGAAGAGGCACAAATGGTTCCCCAGATTTATTTCCTAAAATGTCTGCAAATAAGCCTCAGTCAAATGAGGCATGCTTACTTTAGCGACAGCGAGCAGGCTGCCAGTCATCTGGAATCCCACTTCTCATCTCCAAGGGAGGAAAGGAAAAGACCCTTCCCCAGGTCCCTCTGAACCACATTAGAGACACAGAGACAGTCTTTCCAGTTGGGTCTCAGAACAGAACAGGCCAGGTTCTGACCTGGCCAAGGGGGCCCTGGACTCCCAGCGGACTCTGTGGTACTCCAGTTCTCTACTTGGAGATCCTAGGACTGCACCACACACACACACACACACACACACACACACACACACACACACACAC